TATAAATATAATATAAAATATAGTATATGGTTTATATAGTATAAAAATATAAAAGTATTCTTGGCCTTCTTACTCAATTTTTTTTAAAAAAAATACAGCTTTAAAACCTAGTAACTTTTTTTTAAGTTGAAAACTATGTTTAAACAAGTGTTACTGTTTAATTCATGTGTTGCAAGGATTTCCACTTCTGCCTGAAAATTCCTGAATGTACAGTCTCACAGTGATAATCCATTTTTAAAAATAGGAAGCCGAAGCTATTCCCAAGACAAAGCAGCTTGTGGATTTACAGTGAAACTGATTCCAGTCTAAGAAAAATGAAACATATTTAGCTTCACCTGATACACGCAACAGTGGTTACAACTTCTCCCCTAACAAAAGATATGATGCGATTAGACTGTTAACCTGCCCACTTTGGAGGTTTATCAAAAGAGGCCAGGACTTGAAATTAAGTGAGAAGAATCAAAGAGAAATTCTGCTATCACAGAATTCTCCTGTTCTCCACTTTTGTCTGAAGCTCTCTTCAGAAAGGCCACCAGTCTCAGATCTAGGTGCAAACTGCCTTGTTAGAAAAGCTTTGAAAATATAATAAAAGGTGACTACATACTGTGAAGGAGCATGTCTGTGAAAGGTATTACAAATTTAAGTAACTGAACTGTGATAGCGGAAAGGCTCAGGAAGAACTGAATTAAGCAGCATCTTTTGGTACACCAGGTACCGTAAGACAGCAGGGCCAGAGCACGCGTTATGAGCTGGGACTAGAAAAGAGAGAACAGTTGGCAAATAGAAAAGAGAAAAAAAAATAACAAACCAAGGACAGTAGGAAGAACACATGCAAAACAGGCACTTTAAAAGGGGAAGGAAAACTTTGATGTTTTCGCAGTGAGCAAGATGACACAATTTCTACTGGCTTTTAAATAGATTTGAAAACATGACCTATTCCAGCCTTTTGGTCCGTTTTACAGAGAACATATGGTCTAAGCACTAAGCAGATACAATTTGAAAGTAGCCTCAGCCTAAAAGGCACATGAAATGCCAGGGGGAAAAAAAGGGAGCCAAAAATGAAGAGCTCCCCCAAGTTTAAGTCTTCTGCCATTTGGAGATTCTCACCGGAGCGCGCAGAGCCTGTGTCGCAGCGAGGATCCTCCGTGCATTTGAGGTAAGCTCTCTGGTGAGCGACAAAGAAGAACATTTGCTGTTATTTTTCTGAATCATCTGCTGTCTTGTGCTAAGCACTTTAAAACCACTCCTTGCAACAAATCAGACAAATACCAAGCAGCATCCAGTCTAACGGGGAACCTGGAATTCTTCCAGGCTCCATACGAACCCGAAGTTGCAAATGAGCAGACACTAGCCTACCCCAACCTCATGCACCCTGAATATTCATTGCAACGAATGACTCTTCTCCATGCATCCCAGAGAAACTCTGGCAACTATTTGTCTACTAAACATTTGCCCCTATTATATTAATATGTTACCAGCCAGCTTTTCCTTCAAGGGACACAAAGTGCAGGAGATGTTGTGAAAAGAACTACGCGGGCAGGTAAAGAAAATGGAAGAACAGTATGTAAATATTTAACATGCTGTTCCCATGCACTACCAAGGTATACGTGAATGTCCATGTATTATGTAGAGGCAGAGTAATCTTGCTTCATCAAGAGCTGGAGTAGGAGGAATAAAAAAGAAGTGAAGATTTAAGGAAACGTGAAATCTAAGATAACAATACTATTGGCAAGAGTATAGCAGCTTCGTTTCTCTAGACCGGCCTCAGGGCATTTAATTTTGGTGTCGTTCATCTACGAGGCCAGCCAGCCGCAGGCCCCACATCATAAAAATGTGTTCGCAAGTCATCTATTTCTCCCTGGGTTCTTAACCAGGACACAGGAAAGGTTCCATTTAAAAATCATTTTATTATTAACATAATCTTCCCATTTAGCCAAGTGTGGGTCATGTATAAGGAATGTCGGTAAATATTCCATTTGAGGCTTCTTTTTACATATTTCCATTGATAAATAAACTCTGAATTCACATAAAAAAGTTAAACTTAAATAACTAATATATTTTTTGTAACAGGCATACATTGGTAAAATATAAATATTCTTGTACTCAGCCTTTGCTCTAAATAGAGATAACAGTTAGCCACACATCACAGTTATTAACAACTAAAAACAAGAACTCAACTGATTTTCTGGCCTGGACTAAAATAGAGATGGAAACAGAGAATTCACATTTTGACTTTGGGCCAAAAGAGGTTGAGAGGCAGGAAGAGAACAGTTTTATTAACAGCCTTGTTAAAAATAGTCTGCTCTGCCACTGAATTTTAACTTACTCTACATTTGGTAGTTGATTCCATTACAATTTTAAGTAACACTCAAGTATCACTAACAAAATATGGCACATCATCCATGAACAATATAATGATGTTTTAAAACTACCAGGGCAAAAGTGTAGGTGATATGAGTGATTTGGTTCTGGCTAGCCGTTTTGTCCTCTCAGTCTAACATTAATATATTGCATCACGTCACTGTTTTGGCCACTTTCCTGCAAAAGACGAGTTTGTTACCTGTAGCTCTAAAGTTTGCCAAACTAACCAGTTACCAGGCAGCCTGATACACTGGGTTTCCTCACCCAGAAGTCAGACCAAAATCGATTGATCAAGATGCCCTCTTAAAGGACTCTGGGAATGATGGTAAAAGGGACCACAGGACTGCTAGCTTCAAGCTCCAGCGCCGTCAGGAAGCATTCGGTTGCGGCATCATCATTGCCTTGAGCCTGCAGCACCTCGCCCAGGCCATTCCAGACCTCATGGGCCGTGGAATTCACCTGGACAGCATCTCTGAGAATCTTCTCTGCCAAGCTATAGCGCCCGAGCTGGTGAAGTATCAGAGCCTGCAAGAAAACAAAGGAAAAAATGGTTGAGATTGGCCAGTTGGACTTTCCTGAAGCTCAAATGATATGTTGCAACAGTGAAATAAGCATAGGTAGCTCTTGGGTTCAAAGTGTTATAGACTATGTAATACTTTTTTTTTTTTCTTTTTAAGAAAAGAAATGACCTGAAGCAGGACTGGAGCAGGCTACTCCACGCCAACAAGGAGTAAAGTGGCTTTGGACAGGTAACAAAGACACTGATACGCAAAAACTGAGTTGAACAACAAAAACTGCACCCAGCCACCAAAAATCAGTAAGTACCTGAGCTTTTGTGGCAAGCTCCCGGGTCTAAAGTCCTACTAAAGTGTGTACCCTGAAGTGTTTGTATTCTGCCTGCACATCTCAGCACCCAGCTCATGTCTCATAACATCTGAGATCCCACACACGGCACCATCGGCTCTCAGGGATGGCAGTAACAGAATTGAGTTCAGCCCAATGGGCAACAGCCAAGGTATTTGATTCAACCAGGGAACGGGAAACGTGCTGGGACTAATATTGCACCAGTAGTGTATGAAGGTCCAGCAGGTAGATAACTTGCTCAGGAGCTTCCTTAAACACAGATTCTTCATCTTCCTCTGTAGGATGGGATCCAATTCAACACCACACGATCCAAGAAACTTTGTTTTCTAGAGAGGCATCTTGATTACCTGCTTACAGATTTCTTGTGGCTTCTCCCCTCCCGGCTCCCACTCCTTGGACTCCATTTCTTTTATTTCTCTCTGTACATCTATCCCTCAAATCCTTATCGACCTAAGCACCAATGATTAGAAAGTACTGAAATTCCATGTAACCCCTGAATTACGCACCATACGTTTCTGAGATTCTGCCCACCAGCCTGATTTCAGCATGGGCAGACTGCTAACTCCATCCTACAAAGCAACAGAGCAGACCATGCTCTGAAGAACAATATAAAGAGCGCTGTATAGTATTGACATTGAATAAATAAATGCAATGAAGACTAATTTTTATCAGCCTAGCAGATGTTCTCACAAAAAGGTGCTAAAGGGCTTTTCTGGTTTTGGAATTTTTTTTGAGCTGTCAAGTGAGTCAGCATTTCTGGAGTGAGTGAACAGCACTTCCAATCCAAAAATCAGGTAACTCTCAGGGTCGGTGTTTTTACCCTGCAGGAAAGTGATTGTCAGTGGCTGGTAGGTATCAGATGTGAAACTACAAAAAATGAAGCAAGGAGACGGAATATATAAAGGTGGTGTGGCTGGATGCACCTAACCTCAGTAAAATTAAAATGTTTTTAATTTTCGAGACAAGATTCTCTAATTAATTTTCAAAAATCTTCCTTTTTTATCTGTGTGGATTTGTATATTTAACATTAATTAAACATGTGAGTTGAATATTGGTAATACTACTTTTCCCAAACATGCCAGACTATTTTCCCTGCTTGCTAAGGATACAAGCTGCTCTTTTCAAGACCAAAGGAAACAACCAAATTTTGCAGATATAAGCCTGTTGATAGGAACAGAAACATGTTATGTCACATCCACCCTATTCTGTACGGAAAAAAGTGAAGCTGAGATTTTCCAGGTGATAGAACTAGAGCAAATACTAGCTGTTTGCCTGCTGTTATACTTTTCTAAGAATATAAGCTTTTTAGCACTAGTGAAGGAACCGCTCTTGCATGGGCAATCAAGTTGCATCCTGTACCCTCATGTTTTGAGGGCACAGCTGTTTAGAGGGAGAGCCACCTTTCACTGGTGTCTCAGGCTGGGATGGTGTGAAGACTCCTGCCTCGGGTAGCAGCACTGGGACGTGAGCTTTGCTTCCAAAGAACCAATGGGGTGAAAATTAGACTCGTTTCATGCAGAGCATCCAAAGGACAGTGACACTTGGTCACTATAGATGTGGGCTGAGCTCAAACAAGCGATCTAGAGAGAGAAGAGATAATACCCCCTGATTCATTAACTCTCTCGGAATGACGGTCAGATGTCACATATTGTGAGTGTCCAGTCTGTAGATCTCCTTCCCGCATGACTTCATTAAAATTCTGAGGCACAGAACATTTCAAATTGTTTGCGGTCTTTGCCTGACTTTGCTCTATTAAGCATTACACTACAGACCACAGGGAGAAGGAGCAGGCACGTCTATCACGCAGCAACATCCTTCAGTGACCTCGCACCATCACCCATCCAAGAAAACTGACCTCCAGTTTACCAGCTGTCAGCATGTGCTTGTTCTCTGTACTAAACCCTTCAGAAAAAAAAACCCCAAACAAACCACTAAACCCCAAATCCCCTAAAAGGCCCCAAAACCAAAACTCCTCTAAGATTTCCCAGAAATCAATATAAACTATCCTAGTCTTTCACTGCATATTTTCCTTTGCTTTCTAGCTGGAAACAAAATCTTGAAGCTACCAGTTCTGGCCTTTACCTGTTTAGCAGCAGATGTACAATGTTTATCTGCAGAATAATGTTAGGTCTCTTGCTTTGTGGATGGAGATGGGCTTGAACAACACATCAACTCTGCAGAAACACAGAGGGGTACCTAAGTGACATATGGCTCACACCTTCAGACTTGGCTTGTTTAAAGCCTAAACAGAATGCCTTCTCCCTATATCCTCTTTATAAACAGGCACATAAAATTAAAAAAAAAAAAGATAGGGATTTTGGAACCCAAATCAATTAGAAAAACTGCTATATAATAATTTGAGTAAATAATAAGAAATATTAGTAGGCAAACACCCATTCTACAAAAGATGATGAAAACAGTAAGTTCCTAAGGCATGACACAAATCTAAGGCAATCTATTTATTCTTTGTACATTTAAAATGCTGCAGTACTTGACAGAGGTGTTTAAGACAACTTTTGGCATCCTGCTAGGAGAAAGCAGGATCTTTCCTGCTATTGCATTTCTTTCACTAGCTCTTTCACATGAAAGACCAATAAATTTATGACATTTGCTTCTAACACAGTTAAAAATGCCTCTGATGTGTGTGGGCTTCTTCAGCTTTGCAGCTCAGTACAAATTTTATTTATTACTTTCCCTCACGTTTGGATTGCTGAGAATTTTGGGGTGCTGTTTTTGTTTTTTGGTTGGGTGGGATTTTTGGTGGGGTTTTTGTAGGTTGGGTTGTTTGGTGGGGTTTTTTGGCAAACCACTGATCTCCCCTAAGTGTGTTAAGGCTTCCAGCTTCTGGCTGTTCAGGATGTCTTTATGTTGTAAATACTCTAAGCAAATCTTATTTTTCTTATAGCCAGTTCTACATCGTAGAGGTTGATTTTCTAACTCAGAAAAACTCCCAAGAGAAAACTCTAATCAGAAATGGCACAGGCAGAAAGTGAAGGGAATCTCTGAAGAAACAAAGAGACTTTTTCTGCCATCATCACAAGAAGTGAAAGCAGTGCTTCATGTCTCCAACCCATTGATATTTATACTAGTCACTTTGAATAATCAACAGTGCTTGTAGATTTGTGGAGTTCAGACGCTCTCTGCTCAAGGAAAGGTCACCTGTCCTTTGCAGTGCCCATGCCATTGTCGGGGCTCACAGCTGGGAGTAACAGGGACTTTTCAATTTAAAGAGCATACAGGGGCTGGCTTTCTAAAAAAAAGAGTATTACCATGTGCTGCCTGTGGCAGGGAGGTACTGTAGTCACTACAAACAAGGTTCTACACAAGCTTCACATCACAACAGAACAAGGAATTAATAAAAAGAGGGGGGAAGTGCTTCCAACTTTCTTCTCTGCTGCAGGTGATTTTCAAGATCTTGCCGATTCTTTCCTCATCCAGTCTGGAGTCACAAAGTCTCCCTCCAGTTGGTCAATGATTTCATACATGTTTCCTCCCTTGATCATAACCCTTACACTTCATTTTACGTTGCCCCACATACAAACCTGCTATTCTTTGCTTATTTTGCCAAAGCATCTGTTCAAGTATTGTTTTTATAATGCTCAGCCAAACAGGGCCCAACCCCTGATTCAAGGACCTTGGCACTGTTGTCAAAACAGAAGTAATTTGTTATTTATTACTCACTATCTCCTAGGTACCTACACAAATACAGACCAGAATAACAGCTATTGAGTCTGAATAGACAGAAATATCTTAATGTACTATCCAAAATATCTGGCTGAATAACCTCCATTTATACTTATCTTGAAAGCATTAAGAATGGCAATTTTATCTTCTGTATTTTGGATACTGTCTTGGGACTAATCACATTTAGTGTTGTAATTAATAACACATCACAAGAATTGTGAGAGTGATGATACAATTAGATAAGGAAAAGTTAAGAGGATACGACATAGAACGCAATGGGCTGCTCATGAGAACTAGGATAACAGAAATACGGCGAAAGTCAGTAAAACAAAGCGGAAAATAACACAACAGTAAGACAGAAGTTCTGCGACGTGGTGGAAGCCTGTCAACCAAGCAGCTTGGGAGAAGGACTTGGATGTATCAGGAAACCACAGGATGACAGTGTGAAAAGGTGCCAGTGTGAAAGAGGAAAACTCAAGTGACATCAGGAGAGGTTTCCAGTAGAAGGATAAGAGAGACTTTAGCAGCTGTGCAGCACACAGCTATAGCAGGACCTCCTCCTGCACCTTGTGTAGTTTCCTCTGTTCAGCAAAGGTCATTCAAACTGGAACGGGCACAGAAAATGACTATATGACAATCAATAAAAATCTTAATTTACAAGAGGACACTAACAGACTTGGTTTGTTTAACCTAGCAAATCAAAAACTGAGAGGAGATAAGTTACTTGCTATAAAAACAGTAGAGAGAACAGAATAGGAAAAAAATATTTTAGTTAGAGAATAATGTTGGCTCAAGAATACATGTGTATAAATTTACCCAGAAAAAAGGTGAAAACATTCCTGGCAATTGGAGCAGAGATATTTTGGAATATCCTTCTACTCACAGTAGCAGGGTGAAAAAGAGTGTTAAGACTGAGTCCTATAAGAAGAGCTTGCATGCTCTGATGGTTACAACTTGTCTAGAGGGCCCAGGGAGCT